AATTGTACGAATTAAGTAATGTTTGTTTTGCAGTCCCGCCAACTCAGGTTAATATAACGTTTTCATCATTATTTCCCAAGTGGTATTTTTTCTTGCTGCTCAAAAGTATTAAATGCAGAGTCCACAAATCTCAGACAATGTTATTTGGGAAAGTTAACATGAATGGATTGTGATAATTTGAAAATTAGGACCCTTTTTCCATTGCACAATTATCTATACAGAAACTTAAAATTGAGAAGGCGAGAAAAAAAACAGCTTAGGAAACAGTGGCACCCTGATGTACATATCTATGTACGAGTACATATTCACTAAGGCTTTACAAATTTCGTTTTTAACAGGTCACAATTGAGCGAGCATTTTCAACACTAAGGTTGGTTCTTACTGATTACCGTAATCAGCTTAGTCAGGAGACACTCGAAAATATTTTGTTGGTAAAACTGAACCCAAGTTTTCTTAACACAGCTATAGAAACTTTACCTCTCTTCGAAGATACACCAGATGAATAATATCTAGTCGTAATTTTCTTATTTTTTATGTTATAATTAGCAATGAATTCAATGAACACTGTATTTTTCTTTTATTTTTGATTTAAATTTTTCAATATGAAATAAATAATAACTAATATATTAATAAAAAACAACACTACTTAACAAATTTCAAACTTTTGATTTTTTAAGTTTTCAACCTACTATGAACGGGTAGAGATACCCACTTCCAAAACAGATACGAAAAGTTGTTGTTCCTTTTGTACGTTTAGCGCGCACTAACAATCAGCGTTGCCAGGTCTTCGACATGAGAAAACGTCCCTCTTGGTCTGAAAAAAACGTCATTTCCTACCCAAAAACGTCTTTTTCAAATGTATGCACCCAGAATTGTTCTTATTAAACTTTTATTGTATGCAAAGGTACATATGTACGCAAGGTATATTAAAATGTCATTTCTACAGAGCACATTTAAAATTCATTGTAAACTGGTTTGATATCGTTAATATAAGATTTATTATGAAAATAATTCAAAATCAGTTCTACTTACTAGATTTAGTAACAGAGAAAAATTACTGGGAAGGTAAAAAACGCCAGTTTTTACACAAAAAACCTCAAAACGTCAACAGGATACAAAAAACGTCCAAATGACGTTAAAAACGTCAACCTGGCAACACTGCTAACAATACACCATGGGTTTCAATTGCAGCTGAGTACAAACCAAACGAATTTTTTGTTCTTTTGTTCATTGCGTAGTTAGGATTGTAGTAAAGATACTCAGGGTTTTTAAGGTTGCCGATGCGGATATTTCTATGCATTAATTGACGTTTTTTGCCAAACTGACCACATCGTTAACAATGCAGAAATTATGCATAGATAAACACTTGCTAAGGAGTATCACGGTTTCCTAGACGGATATTTATGTGCATCATGAACTCTCCTAAACTAAAAAAACTAATAGATCCTAACCACATCATTAACAAGTAAGAAAGTCTAAGTTCGGGCGGAGCCGAACATTAAATACCCGGCGCAAGTATTAAATATATGTTTTTTACCTTTCCGAAAGCTACCGCTACATGGTAAACCGGGGTGTACCAATTTTGAGTAAATTAGCGTCCTTAAATTTCGAAATATTGAAGTTTCAAGCATTTCTGAAATTTACTGTTATATGAAAAGCGGCCGTAATTTTAGTTCGATTTCAATAATTTTCAACGTTTTGCTTCTATGTGGCAAGCACAATAACCACACCGAGTTTGGTACAAATCGGTAGAACGGTTACCGAGATACATATATGTGATCATAAGTGGGCGGTGTCACGCCCATTTTTCAAAATTTTATCCTAAACGTATTTCTTGGTAAAGAGTTGTTGCAAACATCAATTTTGAATAAATTAGCTTCAATAATTACTGATTTATCGAAGATTTCGTATTTCTCTAAATTATTGTTATATGGGATGTGGGCGTGGTTATTGTCCGATTTTAAAAATTTGCGGTCATATCGTGTGTTATACGAAGGTTAACAACTGTGCCAAGTTTGGAAGAAATTGGTGCAGCGGTTACCAAGATATACACATGTAACCAGAAGTGGGCGTGGCTACGCCCATTTTCCAAAAAATTATAATATTATTATTTTTCGTCTAAAACTTATTGTAAATATCAATTTTGAGTGAATAATCTTCAGTAGTTTCTAAAATATCGCAGTTTTCGTATTTCTGAAAATTACCGTTATATGGGAGGTGGGCGTGGTTATTGTCCGATTTTGCCCATTTTCAATACCATCCGTCCTACGCCAGAAAGAAGTGCACGTATCAAGTTTCGTTAAGATATCTCAATTTTTACTCGAGTTATCGTGTGCACAGACGGACGGACGGACGGACGGACGGACAGACAGTCACCGCTTAATCGATTTCTCTTTTCATTCTGATCATTTATGTATACATTTGTCTATATCTATCTCGATTCGTTTTGCCTGTTACAAACAACCGTTATGTGAACAAAGTTATAATACCCTTGTGCACAAGTGCGCTAATAAATATATCTGTGTACATATGTATGTATGTAGAATGTAAGCTAAGGTTTTTTAACCGAGATTCTTTTTAACGCATACTTTGTTATCGAAATAACGCAGTGTGCGATGCAGTTTTGCCTGATTTTCACAAACATATGTACATATGTATGTATGTAGATACATTAAGGCAAAATTAACCACTTGTTCTAAATATGACGCATATATGTATTAAAAAGAGTTTAGTTTGTGAAAATAGTTAAATTTAAATATGTGTATATGAACATATGTATGTATATATGTATGCGTACATGGAATAAAGAAATTTTTGAGCAAAAATTAGCGAAATGTTCATAAAAATTTTAAATCTTTTTTAGGGTATGGAATTTTGTGGCATAAGAAATTTTAGTACAATAAATTGCAAGTTTGAAGTAGCTAGGTTGAAATTTGGCAATTTCTTGTTCGACAATTTTTTTGTATGGAGAAACTGAGCAACGCTTTCAACCAAAAGAATTGCCGAAATTCAACCAGTAATTTGCGAGCTCTGAAGAAATCATAAGCAAACACAAAATACCAATTGACTGCCATTGCGGCCCGCTTGCAGAAGCTAGAAATTTCTAATTTTTCGACTGCAACTGCCGACAACTTGCAAAAGCAAAGATATTGCTTATACATCGACTTGCGCCGCTGGCCAAAATCAGAATGAAATCAAAATTAAAATTTTCAAACCAATGACTGCCGGAAGAACTGCGCATTTTGTCGGCAATCAGTTTCTGCTTGAACTGTGACTACGACTGTTAAACCAACGACTGCCAGCAGCTCTGCGCATTTTGTCGGCAATCAGTTTTTGCTTGAACTTCGACTGCGACTGTTAAACCAGCGACTGCCAGCAGCTCTGCGCATTTTGTCGGCAATCAGTTTTTGCTTGAACTTCGACTGCGACTGTTAAACCAATGACTGCCAGCAGCTCTGCGAATTTTGTCGGCAATCAGTTTCTGCTTGTGCTTCGACTGCGACTGTCGTCTTGTTCCGAAGCATAAGCATAAGCAAAAGTTAATGAAATAAAAGTCATTACAGTTTTTTAAACATTGGCTAAAATTGCACGTTCGCGGAGCCATTCCGGATTTCGGTAGTTGATCGTTAAGTTCGGAAATACTCTGTCGATGACGTCTTGAGTGCTCTGCTGCATTTGACAAAAGTTGGACGGAAATGATATCTCATTTGTTGTGCGATCAATATGAACTTTACCGTTTCCGATATCTAAAAGTTGCTTTGAAAATATTTGGGCAGACGTATCTTGCAGCAAATGCACTCGCATATTGTTGTGAGCGTAATTTTTTCGACATAGTTCCACAGATGCGATGCCTTTAAGCACGCGTTCAGCTCGTCTGCAGGCGTTGATCGTGGTATAACGGGTAATGTTTGACGAAAATCACCTGCAAGGAGTATAAGAGCGCCTCCCATCGGTTGGTCTTTTCCACGAAAATCTCGCAGAGTTCGGTCAAGTGCTTCGAGCGGTTTCTTATGTGCCATGGTGCATTCGTCCCAAATTATAATTTTGCACGTTTTAAGGACTATGGCCATACCAGAGTTTTTGCTGATGTTGCATGTATGTGTTTCGGTCTGGTGCAAATTCAATGGAAGCTTAAGTGCTGAATGCGCTGTACGTCCTCCATCAAGTAGTGTTGATGCAATCCCCGATGATGCTACTGCTACTGCAATCCCATTTCGCATTCGAACTGACGCTTATATTAAATTGATGAGGAAAGTTTTCCCGGTACCTCCTGGAGCATCTAGGAAGATAATTCCGCCATCTCCTTTGGTTACACGTTGCATGATTTTGTCATAAGCTTTTTTCTGATCAGCATCTAAAAACTCTTTGCATTTGCACAAATCGTTCAAGCTGATTTGCATCAAACTACTGTTCTCGCATCAAGTCTCTGTCTTGTACAGCATTTCTATCTCGTGTCGGTGCTGGCATACCGAGTTGACAAAGAGCTTTGTTGTTGATTGACATGCATAATAAATAAATAATAATAAAGCTTCATTGAAAATGTCATCCGAATATTCCTGACTTGGATCGCTTGCGCGTGCTTGTCTTAGAATATCTTCACTGAGGCTTTCACGATGCATTTTCCACAGTTGTCGAGGATTCGATGGTGCGCATGTTGTTAAAATTATCGCAAACAAAGTTCGTATTTGCTTTGGATGGCACGTGAGTGATGCTTCGGTCAGAGTTGTGTTCCAATTCTGATCATTCTCAAGTAAGCCCAGTTTAAAGCACGCTTCTCTGTACGTTTGGCATTCTACTCCGTCGATGGTTTTCAATGCAAGGAATGATGTCGGCCCTTTGATTGTATGCAGCAACAACCGCAAATAATAGCACTCGGCGTTATTTGGATGAACAGTATACACACGTCCCAATGCATCGGACGAATATATACCAGGATGCTCTGGAACAATTGCACCTCTTTTTCTTCTGTTGAACTTTTTTGTCGATGTGTTCCAAGTATACTATTTGGGCACATCTTGATACAGCAACGTTTTAGCAAAATTTTCGGATTTACACAATTCGAAAAAAGCAGTCAGTGTTGTGTTTTGTGGTTGCTCTGCTCTATTTTGCGCATTTTCTTCGGTGAAGTAAACCCGCTGACCATTTTCCAAATAAACAGCGAGATGTTGAACCGTTGGATATCGTTCGTGAATATTGAATGCAAATATCCGCCATACTGCTTCGTTACTGCTGATGTAGCGCCCTGTTTGATATTGCGTGATCTCATCACCTCGATTTGCTAATCCGAATACTGCCATGTCACTGCCCTTGTTAACATATTTACAAATATATTTTATGGACTTTACCGAATTACAATACTCAACATTGATGTGAGCATTAAACATTTTTGAAAGTAGTAGCGAGTATGGCACGATCCATCTATTGTCTATGTCGATATCTACACTTCGCATCTTAATAGTAGTTGTGTATCCACCATTAGTGGGATTTCTTCGCCTATACAGAGGATATCCATCACCTCCAGTTTGAGTTTCAGTAATCAACTCACGTGGATATCGCTTTGTGCATTTGCCGTTTTGCATGCATGGTGAATTAGGATTAAAAGTACCGCATGGCCCATGAATCATATTTTTCTTGATTATTTCAAAAAGAATGGGATCTTCGGCTTGATTTGGAAGCTCGGCTGATATAACGCTATCAATTTGTGTAGGTATAATTTTTTGCTTCAACCAAATCAAAATGTGAGCGTGTGGTACGCCTCTCTTTTGCCATTCAATTGAGTACATCCAGCATCTGGTTTCTCCAAAAACAAAATTCTTCGTGATGACATTCATAAGACTTATTAGCTTTTGCTTGAATATTCGAGCGAGAAGATCATGTCTGTGCGATGAGCTCTGGCCTGCAAAAAGCAATTCGGTTATTTCACTCCACGATGGATTGCAAGTGAAGGTGATGAATAGGTCTGGTCGTCCATACTTTCGAACGTACGTCATAGCATCTTGCCCGTATTCGTGCATGTGCCGCGGGCTTCCTGTATATGTTACAGGTAAAATTACCATTTGTCCAATGTCAGCAATGTTTCCATCATTAGCAACTGCATCACGTAAATGAACGTATTCTTCAACGCGCAGCTTCTTTTGATTTAAGCGAATGAAAAGAAGACGTTCACTTTCGACTTTCGCGTACATGTCCACAATAAACTGTTGGAATAATTCACGACATTTTAAGATATGATTGGATTCACTTCCACGAATCATAATGCGGTTTGTATAATAATCCATGCAGGACACTTTCTTTGTCGTCGCTTCACTTGTGCTGGGGTCGACTTGCCTGATGTTGAAATGATATCCTTCTTCTCCATGGGGAAACAGCACTGAATATTGGAGTGCATCATACGATCGATGTGTTTCCGATACTCTCTGCACATTAGCATTTCGCCGGTGGATAATGATGTCACGTCGATCGAATTCGGTGCCAACTATTAAAATTGCAACATCCCCTGTTACCGGAGCATTGGAGCGCCTTTCATGTTCACCAGCAGGAGCTTTGTCTGCTCTAATAACAACACTATAGTCATCTGATGGCATTTGATCCAGAGCTGTTTTAAAAAGGCGAATCAAATTGCTTTGTTCATGGAACATTGCCTGCAAGCTTGAAATGATCTCGCGTCGGATCCCAGAACTAATTGCGCAACGCTTGTCTACTTCCAGTGCATCATTTCCAGTGAAATAAATTTGCAGAAATTTCGCATCTTGTTGTGGCACTGCGAGCAATGAACCGATTTTGTGGTATATTTGGCCTTGAACTTTGAATGTTGGCATGTAACCGCCTTCAGATATAATTTTCGTTGCTCCAAACGAAGTCATTTGAAAGCAAGAGTTGTACTTGCGTATGTTTTTCAAAAAGTGGTTTGAAATAGGAGTTGTGCCAGAAAGGTAACTAAGTAGTGGTTCAGGTGCCTCAATTAACGATGACAAAACTATTTTACCATTTGAACAACACATTCCTGGTGATTCCTTGGCAAACTTCAAAGCATGGCAATGCAAGCAAACTTTATTCATCGGTCCAATGGCGACATCTGCATGATTTTCGTAGTCTCTGTTTTTTGTCATAATTGTATGCCGCCAACATTAAATGTGTTCTTTCTCTTGAATGGGTCAATCGTGATAGATTAGTGCGAAGCCGTTCGTTGCGTTGTTCGGGATTTTCAGAATCTCTGGAGGTTGAAGCTCTCACACGATTTTGTTGTAGGCGAGATTCTCGTTGTTCCAGGGTTTCAGCGTCTCTGGAGGTTGAAGCTCTCACACGATTTTGCTGGAGGCGAGATTCTCGTTGTTCCAGGGTTTCAGCGTCTCTGGAGGTTGAAGCTCTCACACGATTTTGTTGTAGGCGAGATTCTCGTTGTTCCAGGGTTTCAGCGTCTCTGGAGGTTGAAGCTCTCACACGATTTTGCTGGAGGCGAGATTCCCGCTGGTTTTCCGTTTCCACATTTCTCGAGCTTGTCTCTCTGTTTCGATTTTGTTGAAGTCGGACATTTCGCTAATCTTCCATTTCCGCCGCTCTGTATTCATTCGACTTTTTTGTTTTGGGGTTTTTTTCTTCCAATTGATGCTTTCTTTGGTGGCATGATTTTATTTTTTTTGTGAATGTAAATAATAATACTCTGTATGTTGAACTGATCTCAGATGAAAAAGAATTCACTATCGTTTGCGCAGTGTCTACACTTGCTATGAGCGAATGTATTAGCTTTGCGTCCTTATATTTATGTAACTCAGGCAAACAATATAAATATGTTCTCTGAAGGTACCTTCCACTTAAAAAGATTAAAAATCCTTATATTTTATCCATGCTAAAACGTGTGCAAACAGCAGAAGATATTCTCTGCAGTTACTTTTCCTGCAATAAATTAAAAAAAATCGGTAGACTTTCGCAACCTCTTATTTATCTGAATTAGTGTATACAGAAAAATTTCTTTGTACGTAGGTATTTTCTTCAAGAATGTTGTGGAAAAATCCCAAGATTTATGAAGCCATTGTTTAGGTAAACTTGGGAAACAAAATATACTATTTTTTTTTTTTTTTTAATATTTTTATTGAGCTTTGTACCACGATTGTTTATTAGGAA